AGGTTTGAAGACCCCTGTCTTAAATCTAACAAACAAAATGGAGGCTGGCTGAGGAATTCTGGGAGTTGAAGTCCACAAGTCATAAAAGGGCCACGTTTGAAGACCCCTGTCTTAAATCTAACAAACAAAATGGAGGCTGGCTGAGGAATTCTGGGAGTTGAAGTCCACAAGTCCTAAAAAGGCCAAATTTGAAGACCCCTGTGTTACAGGTTGGCCTTATTCATGGAACATAATCACAATTCCAGTCAATTTAATATTGTCTTTGAGGACGGGCAACAATACCGAAATTAAAATGGACGGCTGAAAAAAAAAACAACAAAAAAGGCAATATCTGAATAATTTCTGAATAACGTATAACTCCTTATTTTCCTGTTGCACTTTAGAAATTCTTTTGGATCCCACATAACTGAACTCTGTTGATTTTCTCAACCAGAACAGGGTGATCTTGGATACCTTAGAATTGATGTTTTTATGAAGAAAAAAATATTCTATTTTTTTTTTAATTCTGCTTTTTAAAATAAAATAAAATAAAGGGAGGCAATGTTCTCTTTTTTAATTCCCTGCCAAAAATGTTTCAAAGAAATAAGGTAGTGAAAAGTAACTTGTGGCTGTTATTTCTGGTTCCTTTTGGAGAAGTGTGTGATCGGGGTTCAAGAAACATCTGGAAGAAGTCTTCTATAATTGGTCTTTTTTCAGAAAGGATGATGCACATTTCTTTAAAAAAAAAAACAACTCAGTATTTATTAGGGCTATTTAGTGCCTTGGCTTAGATTCCAAAAGGATACTTCAAATAAAGGAGAATATTGGTAGCTCAGGGTTGAGCTGTGAGGATCTTGGTCTCTCTGACCTTGACTGTTTTCTTGCAGACGTTTTATGACCCAACTAGGTAACATCATCAGTGCCAGAAGGGAGTAGAAAGGAGAAGGAGAGAAGGAGGAGAAGAACTGTGGGGTCCTTGGTGCTCTGAGCTTGGTGGTTTTCTTGCAGACGTTTCTTGACCCAACTAGGTAACATCATCAGTGCTAGAAGGGAATGGAGTTTGAAGAGAGGAGGAGGAGGACGACGACGATGACGATTGTGGGGTCCTTGGTGCTCTCTGAACTTGGTTGCTTTCTTGCAGACGTTTCATGACCCAACTAGGTAACATCATCAGTGCTAGAAGGGAGTGGGGCTTGCAGGGAGGAGGAGGGGGAGGGGGAGGGGGAGGAGTGCTGAAGGGTCCTTGGTGTTCTCTTTGACTGTTTCCTTGCAGACGTTTCATTACCCAACTAGGTAACATCATCAGTGCTAGAGGTGAGTGGGGTTTATGGAGAGAAGGAAGACTGTGGGGGTCCTTGGTCATCTCCGAGCTTGGTGGTCTTCTTGCAAATCTTTCATGACTCAAACTAGATAACATCATCAGTCCTAGAAGAGAGTGTGGTTTGTTGGGAGGAGGAGGAGGATTCAGAGGCTTGGCCACTGGCTCCTATTTATGACGGTCGCAGTCTCCCCGGGGGTCATGTGATCCCCTTTTGCGACCTTCTGACAAACAAAGTCAATGTGGGGGGGGGAAGCTGGATTTGCTTAACGACCGTGTTTCTAACTTAACAGCTGCAGGGATTAAAATTAATAGCGCTGACAGGAAAAGTTGTAAAATGTGGGCAAAACTCACGGGATGGCCGTCTCGCCTAGCCACAGAAATTTCGGGCTCGGTTGCGGTCGTAAGCCGAGGACCTCCTGTAAGCACAGAGATGGAAAGTTAAGCGTTAAGTTAGTTTGAATGTTCCACGGATCTTCTTTTTAACGGCTGCATTTCAACGATTCTTGCAATGGTGTTGAAAATCTGAAAAGTGGTAACAAATATTAGGTGCGTGCACAGCCTTTCAGAAATCCTTCAGTAAAAGGGCTTCATACTATTTGGGCGGGCAAATATAATGCCTGGTTGCAAGTCATTAAAGCAGCCACTTTTTTTTTTCTAGAGCAGGGCAGTTTTGTCCTCGTTCAATGAAGCCGTTGATGATGTTTTAATAATAATATTATTATTAATAATGATGATGATGATGGAAAGGACCTTGGAGATCATCTAGTCCAGTAGTTCTCAGCCTTTTTAATGCCGCGACCCCCAACCGGTCATAAGTCGAGGACTACTCAACCGGTCGTAAGTCGAGGACTACTCAACTGGTGCAGCACCGTTTGCAGAATGGGGCTTTTGGCGGGCTCAGCAGGGCAGAGACAGCCTGGACAATTCCTATTGGCTTTTGAAAGAATAGAATTAGACTCTATTCAAGAGAGTCTATTCTATTGGCTTTCAAAAGCCAATAGAATAAAAGGGAGTAGCATGGCTAAGGAAAAGGGGGAAAAAATGGCAGACTGCGTTGTTTGGCGACCCCCGTGAAATGGTCGTTCGACCCCAAATGGGATCCCGACCCACAGGTTGAGAACTCCCTGCTCAGGCAGGAAACCCTATACCAGGGGTAGGCAACCTTGGTTCTTTTATGACTCATGGACTTCAACTCCCAGAATTCCTGAGTCAGCTAAATCCATGAGTCATAAAAAAATCCGAGGTGCCTACCCCTGCCCTATACCATTTCGGACAAATTGCTGTCCAGTCTCTTCTTAAAAACTTCCAGTGTTGGAACATTCACCGCTTCTGGGGGCAGGTTGTTCCACTGGTTAATTGTTCTGTCAGGAAGTTTCTCCTTAGTTCCAGGTTGCTTCTCTCCTTGGTTAGTTTCCATCCGTTGCTTCTTGTCCTGCCTTCAGGCACTTTGGAGAATAGCTTGACTCCCTCTTCTTTGGGGCAGCTCCTGAGATACTGGAACGCTGCTATCATGTCCCCCCTCGTCCTTCTCTTCATTAAACTAGACATCCCCAATTCCAGAAACCGTTCCTTATATGTTTTAGCCTCCAGTCCCCTAATCATCTTTGTTGCTCTTCTCTGTACTCTTTCTAGAGTCTCAACATCTTTTTTACATCGCGGTGACCAAAACTGGATGCCGTATTCCAAGTGTGGCCTTACCAAGGCCTTGCAAAGCGGTATTAACACTTCACGTGATCTTGATTCTATCCCTGTTAATGCAGCCTAACACTGTGTTGGCCTTTTTGGCAGCTGCAGCACGGTAAGTCATAAGTCAAGGCCTACTTGCATTTCCTTACTATCACGGACCACGCTTGTCCAGGGTTTACCCACCGGAGTAACCCTCCTTCTGTTGATTTGCCCATCGGCTAACGGGATTTGTTTCGCCTGGATCTCCTTTTTAAAAAACTAGCAAACAGATAGCAAAGCTTTTCCAGGGTGAAAATTTCCTGGGACATCGGAGGTTTTTTTTTTTGGTCACACATTTTTTTCTATCTTTTTATTCTTTTTTTTTTCCTTTTTTTATAGTGCTAGACTCTCTCTCCTCTCCTGGCAAAGCTTCTCGGTAGAAGGATGGAAAATTCCAATTACTGCACCAAAGGCGATGCTTCTTTTCGTGATGTTGCACGGCTGGAGGTGGAGGGGGGGCGGGAGGGAGGGTCAGGCGCTCTTCCTGGATATTAAATAATTCACAGTTCAGAAAGGACAGCGCTCCTGTTTGCCGACTTCTTTTGGGAATTCCTGTCAACGGGATGAAATGAACAAGGAGCAGCCCCCGCCGAGAGGTTAATTCCTCCCCGGCGTTCTGTTCAATCAGAAGATCGTAGAATCACAACCAGGGAAGGGGCCTTGGAGGTCTTCTAGTCTGACCCTCCTGCTTGAGCAGGAGGCTTTTTAATGCCATTCCGGACGAACGGGTTGTACAAATTCTTCTTGAAAATATGAATCAGATTAACAAACACATACGGCTACCGATTTACAAATTGGCCAATATAGGTAGTCCTTGATTTATGACTACAATGGAGCCCCAACATTTATGCGGTTAAGCAAGGCTGTCGTTGAACGGGTTTTGCCCCATTTTACCAAGCTTTCTTGCCACAGTTGTTAAGTGAATCACTGCAGTTAGTAACACGGTGTCATGGTTCCGACAGATGAAACTCTTCAAAGAACTTTGAGGCATTGTTTACCTTAAAAAAATCTTTATTTGAGAAGCATAGCATCAGCACTAACACAGTCGAAGCCGAAAACTGGATTCCCCTCCCCTGAGCACGTAGTATCAAAGCACAATTCCCTCCTCCAGTTAACAGACATAAATCACATTCTCCAATTAGTTTGAAATGCAGGCTTCCCCTCCAGTTCTCCAGCCCGCCAATCCTTATCATCTCTTATTTCAATAACCTTGGTTCTCACTCTAGTTACAGTATTGTCATGTCTAACTAAACTTTCATGTACATTCCTCCCCCCAGCATCATCTAACTCAGGGGTGTCAAACTCAATTTCATTGAGGGCCGCATCAGCATTGCGGTTGCCCTTGGTGGGGTGGGGAGGCAGCCTACTGGGTGGGCGTGGATGGAGTGGGTGTGGCCTACTGGGTGGGCATTGTTCGCATCAAGGGTGCCTGTGGGGGCCTGGGCAGGAGTGGGACAGATCTGAGGGTCTCTGGCAGAAAGGGTGGGACCGGGGCAAGCGCCAAGACATGGTGCATTTCTACATTCCTCACAAAGGGTGACACCTCCCCAGCATGCACCCAGGAGGCGGGGCTGACACAGCAGGGGCTGGTTCCTTGCTGTTTCCAGACGACCTTGTGAAGCTAAGACTGAATGCGTTTCAGCATAGATGGCCACCACAAAATTGTACATTGGCTCTCGGCCGGCCTGGACTAGGGCCAAGGCAGTGGGGGCCATTCCCTCACTGTTTCCAGGATGGCATCGCAGGCCACATCCGGGCCCCGGGCCTTGTGTTTGACATGTCTGATCTAACTCTAACTCTAAGAGTAAAACATAAGAAGAAAATGGTTGCATCTCCAACTGTTGTCAAAGCAAAAACATCCGATGTTAGCAGCGTTGACACAAGGTTGTTAAGCGAAGCTGGCTTCCCCCATTGAATTGGCTTGTCAGAAGGTCACAAAAGGGGTATCACGTGATCCCTGGGACACTGCAACCGTCATCAGTACATGCCAGTTTCCAAGTGGCCGAATTTCGATCACGTGACCCCGGGGATGCTGCAATGATTGTGTGAAAAATGGCCGTAAGTCATTGCCATTGTAACTTCGAATCGTCATTAAATAAATGCTTATAGGTCAAGGACCACCTTTGAGGTTTTAGAACAATAGGTAAGTAATTTTAAAAAAGGAAAATATTTGAAATATTTTTTAAAGGTGGGAAGAAGCTAATCTCATAGCCTTATATAAGAGCCGAGGTGGCGCAGCAGTTAGAGTGCAGTACTGCAGGCCACTTTAGCTGACTGTGTTCAGCAGGTCAGCGGTTCAAATCTCACCGGCTCAAGGTTGACTCAGCCTTCCATCCTTTCGGGGTAGGTAAAATGAGGACCCCGATTGTTGGGGGCAATGTAAATATATATATACATTGCTTACTGGTGTACACCGCTTAGAGAGTGCTTGCACTTAAAGCGGTATATAAGTCTCATAAATAAATAAATAAATAAATAAATAAATAAATATAGCAAACAAAGTCTTAGAACAGGGGTGGGGAATGATGGCCTTTTATGACTTGTGGACTTCACCTCCCAGAATTCCTGAGCCAGTATGGCTAGATCAGTGGTTCTCAACCTTTTTAATGCCGCGACCCCCAACCGGTCGTACGTCGAGGACTACTCAACCGGTCGTAAGTCGAGGACTACTCAACTGGTGCAGCACCGTTTGCAGAATGGGACTTGTGGCGGGCTCAGCAGGGCAGAGACAACCTGGACAATTCCTATTGGCTTTTGAAAGCCAATAGAATTAGACTCTATTCAAGAGAGTCTATTCTATTGGCTTTCAAAAGCCAATAGAATAAAAGGGAATAGCACAGCTAAGGAAAAGGGGGGAAAATGGCAGACTGCGTTGTTTGGCGACCCCCGTGAAATGGTCGTTCGACCCCAAATGGGGTCCCGACCCATAGGTTGAGAACCACTGGGCTAGATGGTCCCTTTATGACTTGTGGACTTCACCTCCCAGAATTCCTGAGCCAGTATGTCTAAGCATGGAAACCTCTCCCTTTCCCCTCAGCATGGCTGGCTCAGGAATTCTGGGAGTTGAAGTCCATGAGTCATAAAAGGGCCACGGTTCTCCATTTTGTCTTAGAAGATGTGAGTCTTCTACCCAGTTAAATGTCTATTCCAACCATCACAGCTGGGTTTTATTTGCCTAACATCAATCTTCTCCAACATTGTGTCTTTTAATTGTAGAGAATTTCATTTCCCAGATTCCTTAGCTAGCATAGAAACTGGAATTCTGGGAACTAAAGTCTCCCATATCTGGAGGGCCCTGTTTGATGGAAACGGTCTGCAAGTGATTGTTTTGGCTCTCAAACTATTTCTCGATCAGAAAGAGTTGCCTGAAATGGCACCTGGGGAGGGATGCCCAAAACATTTGAGGTGGGGCAAGTGCCTCCCCAGAGCTCCAGAGTACAACTCTAGACTAAATGATTTTTTCTATGTTGTTTGGAAAGAATTGGAGACTGTGGTTATCTTCAAAGGAGAAGTTCTTCATCTCTTAAAAACAGTAACTGACCTTAAAACAGTGACTGTGAGTGGGACCTTGAAGTCCTAGTGGACGATCACTTGACTATGAGGCCAGCTGTGTGCTAATACAATCCTGAGCTGTATAAATAGAGGCATAGAATCAAGATCACGCAAAGTATTAGTGCTGCTTTATAAAACCCTAGTAAGGCCAAACCTGGAATATTGCAGCCAATTTTGGTCACCATATCACAAAAAAAATGTTGAGAGTTTGGAAAAAATTCAGAGAAGAGCAACTAAGATGATCAGAGGCCTTGGAGACCAAAACATACGAAGAACAGCTGCAAAACTTGGGTTTGAATAGTCTAGAGAAAAGAAGAAATAGGGGAGACATGATAGCAGCGTTCCAGTATTTGAGGGGCTGCCACCAAGAAGAGGGGGTCAAACTATTCTCCAAAGCACCAGAGGGAAGGACAAGAAACAATGGTTGGAAACTGAACAAATTAAGGAGAAACTTCCTGACAGTGAGGACAATTAGCCAGTGGAACAGCTTGCCTCCAGAAATCGTGGGCGCTCCATCACTGGAGATTTTTAAGAGGCTAGACAGTCACCTGTCTGAGATGGTATAGGCAGTGGTGGGATTCAGCCAGTTTGCACCGGTTTGGAAGAACCGGTAGTTAAATGTTGCTTAGTTTGGAGAACTGGCTGAACCCCATGTTGCTTCTGGAAGTCCATTCTAGGCCTGGGAGGCCTAGAAGAGGCCTCCTAAGTCTAGAACAGCCCACAGGAAGTGCATGGGTGCCACTTCCAGAAGTCCATTATAGGTCTCAGAGGCATGGAGCAGGCCTCCCAGGCCTAGAACAGCACACAGGAAGTGCATGGATGTCACTTCCAGAAGTCCATTCTAGGCCTCAGAGGCCTAGAAGAGGCCTCCCAGGCCTAGAACAGCACACAGGAAGTGCAGGATGTCAATTCCGGAAGTCCGTTCTAGGCCTGGAAGTCCTGAAGGAGGCCTCCTAGGTCTAGAACAGCCCACAGGAAGTGCATGGGTGCCACTTCCAGAAGTCCATTCTAGGTCTCAGAGGCATGGAGCAGGCCTCCCAGGCCTAGAACAGCACACAGGAAGTGCATGGATGTCACTTCCAGAAGTCCATTCTAGGCCTCAGAGGCCTAGAAGAGGCCTCCCAGGCCTAGAACAGCACACAGGAAGTGCAGGATGTCACTTCCGGAAGTCCGTTCTAGGCCTGGAAGTCCTGAAGGAGGCCCCACAGGCCTAGAATGGCCCACAGGAAGTGCGTGGATGTCACTTCCAGAAGTCCATTCTAGGCCTTGGAGGCCCAGGCCTACATCCACGCAGAGAACCGATTGTTCAGGTATTTGAATCCCACAACTGGGTATTTAGGGGACTGGAACCGGGGGGGGGGCTGGACTAGAAGACCTCCAAGGTCCCTTCCAGCGCTATTCTATTCTTTAGCACTCTGCCCAAGACATATCTGAGCAGACAAGCCAGACTGCAGTTTAGCATTGAGCCCCAGCTGGTCAAATGCCCCCTGTAGGAATTGCTCAGGAAGTCCGGGATCCACTTTGCAAACAAGGCCTCCGTGGGGCATATAGTGAAGAGGCTGGGCTGGGAGCAGACTGATGTTGTTTCCCACCTGCAGAGTTCCCTGGGGGGACTTTAGCTCAGTCATTCTCATCCTGGCCAGCCTACCTGACAGGGTTGATGTTGTGAGGATAAGCATAAAGGGAGATGCCTTTGTAAATACCTTTCAGAAGACAAAGGAGAGGGGAGGGGGAAAGGACAAGGATAAGGGCAGGGAAGAAAAAAGAAAGCAAAGGAAAGGAGATAAAAGGAAAAGAAAGGAAAGGAGAAAAGGAAAAGGAAGGAAGGAAGGAAGGAAGGGGGAAAAGGAAAGAAATGAAAGAGGAAAAGAGAAAGAAAGGACTGCAGAAGGAACAGAAAAGAAAATGGAGGAAGGAAGGAAGGAAGAAGAAAAAGGAAAAGGGAAGGAAGGAAGAGGGAAGAAAAGGGTAAGAGGAAAAGAGGAAAGGGGGAAGGAAAAGAGAAGGAAGAAAGGAAAGGAATGGGGGAAACGAGGAAGAGGAAAGGGGAAAAGGAAAAGGGAAGGAGGAAAGGAAAAGACAGCAGAAAGAACAGAAAAGAAAACGGAAGGGAGGGAGGGGAAAAAGGAAAAGAGAAGGAAGAGGGAAGGAAAGGGAAAAAGAGGAAGAGGAAAGGGGGAAGGAAAAGAGAAGGAAGAGGAAAGGAATGGGGAAACGAGAAGAGGAAAGGAAAGGGGAAGGAGGAAAGGAAAAGACTGCGGAAGGAACAGAAAAGAAAACGAAGGAAGGAACGAAGGAAAAGAAATCGGAGGGAGGGAGGGAGTTGGCTGATCCCCATCGATCGCTCGCCAGCAGCTTTTCCCCGGCAGGCCCTCCGAAGCCTCCGCGGCCTCGGCCGGGGGCTCAGGCCCGAGCCTCCCTCGAAGGGCCCTTCCTGCCTTCGGGCCGGGGGTCGCGCGCGGATCCCGGCCACTCTCGGCCCGTCGCTGCGCAGCCTTTTTCCCTCCCGCCCTGGCCGGCTACCCAGCCGGCTGGCTCCGGCTCCCGCCTTGCCTCCAGCTCGCTCGCTCGCTCGGCCGGGCGCGCTGACTCACGATCCCCGTGACGCAGGGAGCGGCCATCCCGTCCGCCTCCCTCGGGGGCCGGGAGAAGCTCCGGCCGGGCCCGAGGGAGGGTCGCAGCCGGCTCCGAGAAGGCCCGAGACGGGGGAGACCAGAAGCGGGACGATCGTGCCCCCCCACCCCGGCTTGGACTCCCACCTCTGGAGGAGAGGGAAGGGTGGTCTTCGCTGTCTCCCCCCCCCCCCGACGCCCGGGGTTCTGCAGTGGCCTTTAACGGCTGGGGTGTTGGGGAAGGGGTGAGGGAGAGAGAGGGAGAGGGGGAGAGAAAAAGGGAGAGAGAGAGAGGGAAGGAAGGAAGGAGAGTGAGAGAGGAGGGGAAGAGAGGGAGGAAGGGAGCGAGGGGAAGGGGGAGAGGGAGGGAGGAAGGAGAAGGGGAGAGAGGGAGGAGAGAGGAGGGAGAGGGAGAGGGAGGAAGGGAGAGGGAAAGAAGGAAGGATAATGAGAAAGGGAGAGAGGGAGGAGAAAGGGAGGGAGAGGGAGGGAGGGGGGAAAGGAGGAGGGGAGAGAAGGGAGGGAGAAAGAAGGAAGGACAGTGAGATAGGGAGAGAGGGAGGAGAGAGAAAGGGAGGGAGAGTGAGAGAAGGGAGGGAGAGAGGAAGGGGGGAAAGGGAGCAGGGGAAGAGAAGGGGATAGGAAGGAGGAGAGAGGGAGGGAGGGAGGAGAGAAGAGAGGGAGAAAGAGGGAGAGGGAGGGAGGGAGGGAGAGGGAAAGAAGGAAGGACCGTGAGAGAGGAGAGAGAAAGGGAGGGAGAAAGGGAGGGAGAGGGAGAAGGGGAGAGAGGGAGGGAGAGGAGGAGGAGAGAGAGAAGAAACCTTTTCATTGCCAGCTGCAAGGTCTTCTCTTCATCTCCCACCTCTGGCTGTCGGCCCATCGGTCACATCCCAAGGAAAGCATGGAGTCATAGATTGATAACTTGGAAAGACCTTGGAGGCCTTCAAGTCCAGACCAGGAATTTCTCCAGACCAGGAATTCTCAGACATCCCAGTTAAACGGCCACCCATCCTCAGACATCCCAGTTAAATGACCTCCGGAGATGGAGCATCCATGATTACGGGAGACAAGCTCTTCCACCCTTCGTAACTCTTACTGTCAGGAAATCCCTCCTAACGTATTCTGAGTTTGGGTCTCTTTGTGCGAAGTGTCTGTCCGTTGGGCCTTGTCCTGCTTGCGGGAGCTCTGGAGAATAAACCCAGCCCGCCTCTCTGTGGTGGCGCTCCATGATTCGGAAAAGGACTCCAGGTATCATGAGTCCCATCAGCCTTCTGTTCTTTGGGCTGAAAATGGTACGTTCCTTCAGCCAGCCTTCGTAGGATTCAGCCAAGTCCCTCAGCATCCTTGTGACTCTTCTCGGAACTGGGGTGACCACCTGCCTTCTGAAAAATGGATGGACTACACCAGTTCTAGAACTCCCAGCATCCCTCATATTGGTCATGACGGCTGGAGTTGCTGGGTGCGCAACAAGAACTGTGACATAGTAGCTTATTTGGGAGGAAGCACCCAAATTGGAGTGAAGAAGAACGTGCTTTTAAAGGAAATGAGACAGTGTTAACTCTCAATCATATACAAGGCAGGAAATCTTATCAATGAAGGAGATCTTAGAATAGAATAGAGCTGGAAGGGACCTTGGAGGTCTTCTAGTCCAGGCCCCTGCTTAAGCAGGAGAACATATACCATCTCAGACAGGTGACTGTCTAGCCTCTCCAATGATGGAGCACCCGCAATTTTGGGAGGCATGCTGTTCCACTGGTTGATTGTCCTCATTGTCAGGAAGTTTCTCCTTAATTCCAGGTTGCTTCTCTCTGTTCAGTTTTCAAAACCATTGTTTCTCTTCCTGCCTTCTGGGGCTTTGGAGAATAAGTTGACCTCGTCTTTGTGGCAGCCCCTTAAATATTGGAAGGCTGCTATCATGTCACCCCTGGTCCTTCTCTTCGTTAGCACTAGAGATACAGTACCTAGTTCCCTCAATCATTCACCATAAATTTTGTTGGTCTCCAATGCTTTTATCATGTTAAACAAGACCAGTGTTTCTCAACCTTGACCATTTTAAGGCACGTGGACTTCAACTCCCAGAATTCCACAGCCAGCATTGCTGGCTGTGGAATTCTGGGAGTTGAAGTCCACGTGCCTTAAAATGGTCAAGGTTGAGAAACACTGAACAAGACTGAAAACGTCTTTTAATAAAAAAAACATTTACTCACCATTTTTTCCTCGTTTGGAAGGAAAATATAAAAAAAATATCAGCTTCAGACAGAGCGGGAGGGAGAGAAAGGAAGAAAGGGAGAGAGTGAGGAAAGGGGAGCAGAAGGAAAAAACTGGAGTGGGAAGGTAGAGGGAGGATAGGAAAGGAAGAGAGAAATGAGAAGGAAGAGGGAAGGACGGTAAGAGAAGAGCAGGAGAAAAGGAAGAAAGAAGAAAAGGAAGACAAGAGAAAGGAACAGGAAGGGAAAGAGATGAAAGGAATGGGAAGGGAGAGGGAGGGAAGGCGATAGAAAAAAGTGGGAAGGGAGAAGAAAGGAGAAGTAGAAAAGGTGGGAGGAGGGAAGGAAGAGAAGGAAGGAATAGAAGACAAGAGAAGGAGAAGAGCAGGAGGGAAAGGAAAGGGGGAGAAAGAGAAATAACACGCAAAGGAAGGGATCAGGGACAACCTATGTACTATATGTTTGCAAGGGTGCCCTGACCCAGCTCTGTTTCCTGAACCCGGGCGATGTGAATCTGAGACAACAGAGTCCCGCCGAGATGGAACCAACCATGGCAAGCAGCCATATTTCCAAAGATCCCCGGAAACACCACAGCCACAGAATAGCCGGGAAGCAACCAGGAATCAAGTCTGCAATCCCAAACGGAGAGAAACTACAGCCTCGTTTAAGATAAGATAAGACAACCTTTATTGTCATTTTTTTTTACTGTGGGCACAAAGGCACACATCAAAAATGGAATTTAGTTGCCCGCTCTCAAAGTGAAACATACATGACGCACACCTAAACGTACTATGAACATTATGTATAGACCCACATCCCTACATGTACGTAGCAAATAAATATCAAATACTGTCCGTCTTGAATATATAACGGAAGGAGGAAGCTTGAGAGTTCGCAAGGTTAATGCTGTATGGAATGAAACTATGGCTGAATCTGGATGTTCTGCTATGGATACCACGGAGCCCCCTCCTCCCGGAAGGGAACAAGGAAAATAGGTCCGTGAAGAGGATGTGTAGTGTCCCAGATAATCTTGCGGACCCTGCTCAAGCAACACTTCTGTGCTATGTCCTGGATGAAAGGGAGGGAGCTGCCAATGATCTTTTCTGCTGTCCTCACCACTCTCTGCACCGCCTTTCTATCTGAAGCAGGGATGCTTCCAAACCAGACTGTGATGCCGTATGACAGGATGTTCTCGATCGTCCCCCTGTAGAAAGTGGTCAGGACAGGGGAAGGAAGATGTGCTTTTCTCAGGCGACGCAGAAAATGCAGGCGCTGCTGTGCCCGCTTCACCAGTGTCTCCCTGTTGAGCGACCAAGTCAGCCTACTCGTTAGCTGCACACCCAGGAATTTGGACACTGGTAACCATCTCCACAGGTGAATCATTAATGCACAGAGAAGTTGTCGCTGTGCCTGCCTTTTCTGAATGCCTCCGCCTTCCAAGCATGGCACAAAGGGCCCCCCTCGCAAGCTGAGCTGGGTCTGTTTCAAGTGGTTTGTGGAGAAGACATCCTTATGGGGCACTTCCTGCACCATGAATGGAAGCTGCAGTCGTGCCAGACAGAAGAACAAATAAACACAACTTCCCTTTTTTTTTTTCCACCACCACCCTTCTGCTTGACGTTAGACTTACAGAAAAGGGAAGACTGAGAAACATTTTTTAATCCAGCTTTTTCGCATTTGTCACTTATGGCAGGCCTCCTTGGGAAATCAGCCTGAGCAAGAGAAGCAGGGCTACAATTCTCCGGAAAGTGTCATAGAACATAGAGCAACAAGAGTTGGAAGGGGCCTTGGAGGTCATCTAGTCCAACCCCCGAGCTCAAGCCGGAGAATCTCTTACTATTTCCAGTCTCTTTCTAAAGACCTCCAGTGATGGAGCACCCACAACTTCTGGTGGCAAGCTGTTCCACTGGTTAATTGTCCTCACTGTCAGGCGTTTCTCCTTAATTCCAGGTTGCTTCTCTCCTCAATTAGTTTTCATCCATTGTTTCTTGTCTTGTCTTGCCTTCAG